TATCTCTATCTATATCTCTTTCTATATATATATATATCTATATATATATATATATATATACATATATATATATATATATATATATATATATATATATATATATATATATATATACACTGAAAAAGGACTACTTATTGAAAATAAATTGAAACAACGTTTTTTAGGGGGGACAACTTAATTGTTTTGGGTTTAATCCACTTAAATTTGTAAAAGCAATTTGTGTTGGGACAACAAGATGGAAGCATTTTTACAGTGTATGGCCAAATATAAATACATGTGTATTTTTTTTCCAATATTTCAAAATATATATTGCATATGTGATATTTTTTATTGAACCGCCAACTTATCCAGCATATGTTTTTCACAGCAGATGCCCTTTCGGCCGCAACCCATCACTGGGAAATATGTGATATTTTATATATATGAAATTAAAATATGACCTTTTTTTGTTATATATATTCCATATTTCAAATGTCAATGTTGGAACCTTTGTGAACATGTGGGTGATATGATTAGTGTTAGGAGTGAATATAAAAACTAATTACCTCCATGATTTGACATCAGTTTACAGAAAACCTACATGCCATTCAGTTCTGGACAATTGTATGAAATCTGGAGATGTTCTACAGTAAGTTAATTCTAAAATCTTGTAACTGAAAAATAATGTTTTATAAGCATATGTTTTATAATGTGTGGTAAAGTTCAAATACTTTGTTTGATGTAAATTATTTTTTACACAGTAAAAAAAAAAAAAAAACGTAATTTTACGATTTATTTTCGGGCAGCTGGGGGGCCGAAGAAAAACATAAAATTATGGGCATGAAATTAAAGAAATATACCGTAAAGTAACAGACAGAAATTTTCTTAAATTTTTTTATTTTTTTTTTTTACAATGACATAAATCTTTTTTTTTTTTCACCAGGTGTATGGAACAGAAGATGAAAAATTGCTCTGCTATAAGGCCTCGTATTCCTACACCAAACTATTTTGTTAAAAGCATTGACTCCTTAGTGGTAAGACTAAACATCCACGCATTTGGAGCATGATTTAACACATGTACACGGTTAACAGACAATTATAATGTGCCATTAAAAGCCAAGACGTTGGTCAGACGTTAAACTTTGAAGTGAAAATGATAAGCCCTCCTGTGAAATAATTATTCTTTTCCAAATATTTCTCAAAGGACATTTAACGAAGCAAAGAAATTTTCACAGTATTTCCAATAATATTTTTTTCCTCTAAAGAAAGTCTCAGTTGTTTTGTTTCAGCTAGAATAAAAGCAGTTTTTAAATGTTTAAAAACATTTTAAGGTCAACCTAAGGCAACCTAAGCCTTTAAATGTCACTGAATACTAGCATCTTGAAAAATAGCTGGTAAAATATTATGTACTGTCATCATGGCAAAGATAAAAGAAATCAATTAGAAATAAGTAATTAAAACTATTAAAAATAGTATAAAATATACAGGTGGCTATAATGTTTAGAAAAGTTCTGAAAAAAAAAATCTTATTTCCGTTAAGCAGAAATTGGGGATATAAATATACAGGGGGGCTAATAATTCTGACTTCAACCGTACATATAACTGCACAGGAAGATCAACGAGGTCACATGCATGACTCTGCCTTCATCTTTGTTTCTTCAGAAATCACTAGATACAGAAAAAGGATACGTAATCAACATCTCAGACGAAGCGCTGCAAAGAAGCAGAGATGGACTGGAGAATAGTAGCAGTGAAGATGTTAAGTTGAAAGTCTATCTTCTGGATGAAAGCTTGTTTAAAATAACCAGCAGTTCAGAAATTAAGGTACATATACAAGTGGGAAAAATAAGTATCGAATGCGTCACATTTTTCTCAGAAAACATATTGCTAAAAGGTGTTGCCAGAACAACCAAAGAAATCCAAATATGCAAAGAAAACAAATCTAATTAGTTTACAAATGAAGTTATGCGTAATAAAATGAAATGACACATATGGAAAAGTACTGAACACATGAAGAAAGGAACATGAAGAACTTCACATGAAGAAAGGAACAAAGGAACCCACTGGATGACTCTGGTCTACAAGGCTCTTCTGGGACTGGTGCCTTCATACCTATGTCCCCTTCTCCATAAGTCTAAAAGCCAGTATGCCCTACGCTCAAGTGAATCTTATCATTTGACTGTTCCCCGGGTTCGAACTGAAATAGGGAAGCGAGCCTTTAGTCATGCCGCTCCCTCATCGTGGAATACTCTTCAGTCTGAACTAAAGATATCTGAGCTCATCCCAATGACAGTTTCGCTCTATCCTTTTTACAAACAACACCAGTCCCTTTCTCAATGTATGTGTTTTTAATTTATTGAAATGTGGTAAAGCTGGAAAACTGAACTGTATTTTTATATTATATTAATTTTCTATTTATTCATA